GTACTGCAGAACTTAGAAGGTAAATCAGTGTCTGAATCAGGTGTGTTGGAGCAGGAAAAACAAAACATGCAGGGCTGCGGCCCCCCAGGACCAGGATTGCCCACCCCTGATCTAAACTATGCCAGTATAACTCTTAGCAAAGGCACAGCAGTTACAACAAACATGCTGCATTCAGTTCAGGTTTCTTGTCGCTGTTTGGAGAGATAGAGGTTGGAACAAGGAGGTTTTGGGAACTAAACGTAGGAAACCACGCCCTGAAACTAAAAAATGGCAGTGTCATGGTCCAACTGGTTCAAAAACAACAGATTTTGAAGGCCATCAAAATATCAGAACCACAGGCTTAAAGAGCTGTGGTTCTGTGATTCAGACAACATGAAACTTATTCACACTTTTACTCAGGAACAGGAAATGTCTTCAGTGTCTGCGACCATCTGTGACCGTACAGATGAAGYTCCTGTGAGGATCTGCTGCTACCAGGGCAGTTATTTGATCTGCATTTAGGCTGCCTTCAGTGGTATTTACCAGGTGAAATAAGGATTAATGAAATAATAATAATGAAGACTTTTGGTGTAAATATGAAAGCAGAGAAAAAAAATTATTTGAACACGTAAAACAAACAAAAACAAAACAATGATTTACAAATCCTTTACAACCTTTATTCAGCTGAATGTACAAATAAAGGTTCAAATGCGTAAACTTTAGTGTTTTTTGCCAAAATTCACTCATTTTGGATCTGATGTCGTCAACATTTTCCCCAGATTTTTCCAGAGATTTGTRCAAACTTTGTGTATAAATATATAAATGTTTGTCAGCATTTATTTGATCCAATGATTGTATTTTCCTCCTGTATTTTGACTTCTTTAATAAATAGAGCATCATTTAGATCAGTCTGAGTCTTGTTTTGTCAACACACTTTAATTCTCATTTAATTAGGAAATAATAATTATAATAATTGCATCATAGGAGTTTACTAATAATGAGAAAACCATTTAAAACTAATGCCAGTCACACTATAGTAAGTTTATCTGCAAATCTGAGTGAATTCTTCAATTTTAATAAGATAATAAAAAACAATGATAATTCCACAGCTGCAGCTGTTCAGATTTATTTCTTACCGCAGTTCCAACATCTGAACAAAGGAGGGCAGTGTTGCTCTGAGAACACTGGTCCAGCTGGGATTAAATCTTGACTCAAGTTTAAACAACTTAAACAAACTCCAKTGTTAATCAGAGTTTTATTCATGATTGTTTTTATTTCTTTGCTGCCCTCATGAAGCTCAGACAGGTGAAGAATGTAGGGGTGATTGATTTATGGCTGCAGTAAAATCAGAAGTAATACTTTCTAACACATCTGATCAATTTGTTTTGTAGTTTTTATTTACGTTTTAGTTACATTTTACGTTTGCTTCAACTTCCTGTATTCAGTTACGTTTTAGCAACTTAAAGTAAAAACAATCGTCGGCCTTTTCTTCACATCTGCAGCTCACAGTTCATGCTCGTCGCAGTCAGCTGCGCATGTGSTCACGTCAAATTGGGACGACATTAATGAAAAGTGAACCATAGATCAATTTTACATAAACTTACCTTCCTGCCTGATTCAAAGATTATTTTGTGTCAGAATAAAAAAATAACTTTACCCAAAACATCTTGAATTGACTCCAATAGTTATAGATGTCAACGTAATGATTACTTTAACAGGAGTTATTAAAGTTGCCACAAAGATTTATGATGTACAAACTAACACACACACACACACACACACACACACACACACACACACACACACA